ATCAATGCAAGATGCAAGATGATGATAGCTATGACGACGATGAAGACGATTATGATTTTAATGTTGATAATGATATTGATGATGATAATAATGATGGTAGTGATGCTGATGCTGATGATGACGATAGTGATGCCCATAATAACAATGGTTGTTTACGATGTATATATCACTAACATGAATTCATTTACATTCTTATAATGTCAGATATCGATGAATGCTACTTGAAAACTCCGTGCAAGAATAACGCAAAGTGTACCAATACTCCTGGAAGCTACAAATGTGCGTGTGAACCAGGATGGATGGGACAAGACTGTAATTTCGGTAACTATCGACGAATTGCTTTCTTTAAAGAATACACCAAACCAATTATTTGCTTGTTGAGGATATTATTGAGGATTTTCTCCGTCGTAGATCTGGACGAATGTCTTTCATTTCCTTGCCAAAATGGAGGCAAGTGTTTAAACAGCATGGGGAGCTACAAGTGTGTTTGYTCACCCTTTTGGAATGGCAAACACTGCGATCTAGGTAATAAAGTTCTTYATTTTTAACTGATTGCTAGATTTTTGTGTATTGTTGATGAATAAAACTCCTTACTACTCCACTAGCTGAGCTATCTCATTCTGTTTCAGATATCGATGAGTGTTATTTGAAAAACCCTTGCAAACACAACTCACCGTGCACGAATACAGAAGGGGGATACAAATGTACCTGYGAACCTGGATGGAAAGGAACGGATTGTGATCTAGGTACAAACMTCTRTTGATATACAATATACCACCATCTMTCTTTCACAATAATATCTCTTTCAACCKCTTTTCTAGATGTTGATGAATGTCTTAATAGTCCATGTAAAAATGGGGCAACATGTATTAACAATGTTGGTAGTTATAYATGTCACTGCGTTACGGGCTGGTTAGGAGATCTTTGTGATAAAGGTACTTGTTATTATAACATTACTTACGGCCTGATTATATGGAGCGAGCTGGAACAAACCAGACGGTAGAACAGGGCCAGCCCGCTTCATAAAATTAGGCTCCTAATTTGAAAAACATTATTTAATACAACTGTAAAAGAAACTAAGAACACATTGCAGTCCGTAATCACTGGAAAAAATCGCGCGCTTTAAAGGTTGTAACTTTGATGTAAATATGATGTAAGTGTCCAAAATTCTGTAAATTTGATGGAAATGATTTCCATTAAATTTACAGAATTTTGAACACTTCTACATGATATTTACATCAAATTTACAATCTTTAAAGCGCGCGATTTTTTCCAGTGAATCAGTCATTTCACTGTCAACAAGAAAATGCCTTTTGTTTTCTATATCGACACTTACAAACGCCTGAGATATTGCCAACTTCTTCTTAGTTAATATATTTTGCTTAAGATATCGACGAGTGTTTTTTGAAAAACCCATGCAAGGAAGAAGCAGTATGTACAAACACACCAGGAAGTTACGAATGTGCCTGTGCAGAGGGCTGGCAGGGAGATTACTGCGACCAAGGTAGGGTAATGCTTTTATTTCAGGTATTGTCAGTGCAGGCTCCAAAATGTTTTCGCGCTGACATCTAAGTTTCGAGTTTTTCTTGCAAAAAAAATTACTACAATGTGTGCAAACATAGGACACAGAAAAGTTAAAAAACAATTTGTGATGCTAGTCGTCTGAGGCACACTGAAACGCAACGCAAACTGGAATAAATCAGAGCGAAAAGAGTTGTTGCAACAGTGTCTTACCTCATCTTTACAAACCTTTCTAGCTTTTAATTTAGTTTCTGCATAGTGCTGAATAATTTGCTTTTCAATATATACTTGTTTACTTGGCTTTTGAATTGCTTAATTGCTTGCTTGTGTCCTTGTTTACATGCTTTCTACCCAGTTTCAATTTTTATTCGAACAACACGTGTAGATATAGATGAATGCATTGACTCTCCGTGCCTTAATGAAGGAGTATGTAACAACACGATTGGAAACTACACTTGTACGTGTAATTCAGCCTGGCAAGGACGGAATTGCGACGAAGGTAAGACCAAGTGATGTACACTGTGTAGATTCATTGTAGATTCATTTTCGTTGTGAAAATTTTCTTCTTGTTCGACTGGTAGATGTGAACGAGTGTATAATCAACACGTGTCGTGAAGGAACAACTTGTATCAATACTCCTGGCAACTACAAATGCGAATGCTTCGCAGGATGGCAAGGCGATGATTGTAACAAAGGTAAGTTATTCACAGCATCATGCATGAATTGCGTGAATTTTCTCGCTCTGGCTGACGCTCTAACACCATTGCATTTTAATGCGT